CTCCAACACATGCTCAGAATGTATTAATCTTTAGACGGAGTGGGCCTGACTTAGATCTATAGTAACGTGGTCTGTTCAAATTTAAGAAAGTGATTACATGCACTTTGAATCATAGATTATAATAAATAAGTACATTTAATTGTGTTATTCTTTTCATAATGATACAAAGCAAATCTATTGATGTCAAGTTAAATGTATGTGTATTTAATGAAACAATATGTATCTTTTTAGTCAAATATTTACTAAAATAAAATCCTTTTGGTTTGTTAATTCCATAAGTCTCTTCTTTGTCCTGGAGAAAGGCCTCCTCCTGCATGTTTCCATGGAATTGTTGTTCCATATAACCTCCAAAAAGTCACACAATGCACCTTTAACTTTAAATACTTACATAAAAAAGACGACATAAAGTGGACATTTTATTGCTGTGTGCTATACAAGGGAAATGATTGAAGCGTTTGAAACTTGTGAATTGTTGAAACCAAACAATCACTTTCTAATTCTAGCAACACATCAACACGTCTGTCAGTGGGTAGGTGTTTCTTGTGTTGCTGGAAATGGCAGTTGACAAGGGACAGATCACAGCTTATTCTCCAGAAAGTAAAGCCACAGTGACTGGGGGGATAGTTTTCTCTTTTATTATTATTCCTTGAAATGGCTACCTGACCTGGTATAACCGCTCAGAATAAACCTCACACCTTCTTCAGTGTGTGGAAGGTGTGAAGTAATTTTATTTCCTACTCATTTGTTTTTGAAGCCGCAAAGTGGAAGTCATTTTGTGTAATCTACCAGCTTATTTTTGGTAAACCTATAAAAAGATACATTTATTGAGGGGTAAAGAGAAAATCTGAGTAACTTGGTGCCACAGTGGTTAGGTCTCACCACAGCAAGGACGTACTGGGTCCAACTGCCAGACTGATGTAGGTTTCATATTCAAAACATTATAAATACATGCATATATTATAGTTTCCAAAAAAGGCACACTCATTCCAAACTACATCTGCATTCTGCTTCATTGTGATTTGACAAATGTGGTTGTTTTATCTCCTGCTTTTGTAATATTATCACCCCCAAATTTGTTTCCTTAATGTCTCGACTCCCCAGCTTTCAATCACATGAGAACAGAGGAGCTTAGAGTAGTCAAAATAATATTACTCAAATAGAAATACTAGTGGTCCAAACAGTAAGAGTAAAAAATATATATATGTTATTATATTTATTGTGATGTGTCCAAATAATTTCCCTTGTGATCAATAAAGTTTGTCTACGTCTAAAAGTATTTGCGAAAACTACTATTCAGGTAAGAGTAATTGAAAGTGTAACTGCTAGGAAATGGGATGACAAAATATTAAATAATGCTCAAAATCTGGTATTTCCAAAGGACAGAAAGAAAAATGTGAAAAATTAAAGGGATAGTTCGGATTTTTTGACATGAATCTGTATGGCATCCCCGTCATCAGTGTTGTGCATCCACACCGACTTACCCCCCGAAAGCGTCCGGTGAGCCGAGATACTGGCCGGTTTTGGTGCTGAGGAAAGTAGTTCGGCAAGTTGTGTGGGGACTGTATACTAAAGCTTTTTTCTTCTCAAAGCAATATGTGTTCAAAAGAGTGATACATTTGCATGACAAAACTATCGTCGCCAAAAAAAAGTCAGACCTCATTATCGCTTGGCACTATTTTCTTTTCTGTTCGTATCACTGCGCGCTGCCGCCAGGTGACAGCCGCGCACGGATCCATCACTTTCTTCAGTTGTTCGGCAGTGTTTACATGCGCAGACCGCCGCCACGCGAGAGAGCTAACGTGAGAGCTAGAGCCATAAGTATATAAGCTTGTATAAGATACATATGAATATATCTAAAAAATGGTGCGAACTCTTGATTATCCAGGCTGTAACAACAAAAATCTGGCTGAATCTCCACGCACATTTCACTGTTTTCCTGTCACGGACTTTGCGCTGAGGAAACTTTGGCTTCTTGTCTTTGGCTTCAATGTGGAAACTAAACCAGGTAAGAACGAAGAAGTGCCGCTATGTTTACAAGCAGACAGGCTCAAGAATCAGCTGTAACTCTGTGTGCAGTAAATCACTCAGTGTCATATCACCAGTGAAGCTTCTACAAAACATAACTTTATAAGTCGACTGTTATTACTATTGTAAATGTCACGTACACTGTTGGCAGCAGCTACGTGGACGTGTGAATGATTCTATGTTTCTGTTAGTAGTCCATACTTCAGTCACAGTGTAGGCTCTATGTTCGCTGTATACAAGTTTCTAAATGACGTGATGGTGACTGTCGCTCACTCGGTCTCTCACGCCTCCAGCTTCAACTTGTACCACTTCTCTGTCTCTCTTCTCTCTCTCTCTGCCCGTTCTAACTCCATCTGGCGAATTTCGGCATCAGTATATTCGGGTTCATAAAGATCTCCCCTTGGGTTTGTGGTAAAGGCAAAGTCTTTATTGTCGGTGTCATAATCAGACATGTTGTCGCTAACATTCCGAGCAGTAAACAAAGTGAACCAGGCTCATATACTTATGGCTCTAGCTCTCTCGTTAGCTCTCTCGCGTGGCGGTGGTCTGCGCATGTAAACACTGCCGAACAACTGAAGAAAGTGATGGATCGGTGCGCGGCTGTCACCTGGCGGCCGCGCGCAGTGATACGAACAGAAAGAAAATAGTGCCAAGCGATAATGAGGTCTGACTTTTTTGGCGACGATGGTTTTGTGATGCAAATGTATCACTCTTTTGAACACATATTGCTTTGAGAAGAAAAACGCTTTAGTGTACAGTTCCCACACAACTTGCCGGACTACTTTCCTCAGCACCAAAACGGGCCAGTATCTCGGCTCACCGGACGCTTTCGGGGGGTAAGTCGGTGTGGATGCACAACACTGATGACGGGGATGCCATACAGATTTATGTCAAAAAATCCAAACTATCCCTTTAAATCATATCTGAAGGAGCAGTGCAAGACTTTTACTCAAGTAAGTGTACTGTGACTTGAAACTTGAAAAGCATGGTGTCCAAAAATAACTCTGAAAAGTACAGTTTGTTTAAAAAGTTACTTAAGTAAAAAAAAAAAAAAAAAAGTGTGTGTTTTAGAGTTTGTGTGTATATTTTTGTGTGTATATTTTTGAATTGTGTGGGTGTGTTTGTGTTGTTTTTTATAATTGTACATGAATTTGTCTACGTATTTTGAATTTTGTGTGTTTTGTTTTTTTATATTGTATGTGTTTTCAGTTTTTTTTTGAACTGGTGTGGATTTTTTAGATTATACTCATGTTTTTTTATTTTTTTCAAATTTATGTGCATGTTTCAGAATTTGTGCGCCTGACTTGCCCTACAGCACCACCATAATCCAGTCTAAGAGGAAGTTGTCACAAAGGCTTTGGTGATGCACGATGAGAAAGGTCAGTTTTATCTAATGTGTCAGACTGCATAATTTGCCTATTATATTATCAGAACACATAATAACTAATGTTGTTATAATGTTTTGGCTGATTATAGATTATTACGTTGGCTGAGTCAGAGTTAAAAGATTATTTATATCTGTCCTTGTGCCCTTTCATTCTTTTCAAGCAAAACATGTCATTTGAAGTGTTAAAAAGTGTTAAAAGGTGTTGCCTAAATCACTGATGCTGTCAATCACTGACACTTTCAATGACAACGTGCCAATGCAGAATGTAAAAGTGTGTGGTAATAAAAAGTCTGTATTATAAACCAGCAGGAATTATGCACACGATACTTAGCAATGACTTTAAAAACTATTACTCTGCTGAAAAGTTTGAACAATGTCAGACACCAGATTTGATGTCTACAATCTATAGTGTAAAATTTGCCTCGCTCCAGTTCAGATATATTGTAACAGTGAGAGATACAGGACTACCTTCATACCATACTCCCTACAACCGTAAAACAACTCACCCTTATGTAATAGATAAGCCTATGTCCTGTCAATCATCATATCATCTTCGCACTGTTTCTCCTTATGACCTCTTGTGTATAGCACAGGTGTATTTTGTGTTGCTATATTTCTACCAGACTTTTGTTATTTTTTTTTCTACTTATATATTATATTCTACTTATATTTTTTTGCACTTTGTTATTATAATATATTGTGATGTGTGAGCTGCTGCATCCAAATAATTTCCCCTTGTGGATCAATAAAGTTTATCTAAGTCTCAGTCTAAAGCAGTTCGTAAGGTTTATCTGCATAAAAACAGGGGATTATTCTCTGTGAACCAGGAAGTGCGTGTTAGCATGTCTAAAATGACACCACTGTATTCTCTGTGAATGAATGTGCAGTTAGATTGCTATTTGTTTTTAACATTATCTACCACATTTGAGAGAAGGTATCTGTACTTTCTACACCACTACATTTTTGAACTGGAATGAAAAGTATTTTTATGAATGTCTGAGACCTGCTGAAAAGGCTGGGAGCATAATTTTTAACACATTTGTTTGAGCTGACAAAAATATACAAATAAAAAACACTAGAAAACAAATCCATTCCGTTATTCATTTGTTTCATTGAATTCAGCACAAACCGTTATTAAAAATCACTCTATTTGAAGCTTTATTAGACTTCAAAATCTGCGCAAAATACTTTTATTCTTTAAGTATATTTTTAAACAGAAACTTTAATACTTTACTTATGTGATACTTACTTTTACTTTAGTTTTTATACATTTAGACAGTTACAGACATGTATGGAAAAAACCTGCACTGCTCAATTCTTGCTTCATTACGTTTTACTCCCCAACATCGTACAAACGTACCTGTCCCTTATGAATTCTTTTACAAAAGTGTACAAACTGCTCCCTTGAATGAACTCTCGAAACAGTCTTGGGTCTTAAACTTGATTCGGAGAAGGAACTGCATGTGACTATGTTCTTGTGCTTGTTCTGTATCATGCTGAGGTCTCCCTGACTGAACTGGGATCAGCAGGGAGCAGGCTGGACTGAAGATAAGAGGTAGGAGAAAGAGAGAGGAGAGACAGAGGAAGAGAGAGAAAGAGACAGAGAGGGAGAGAGACAGAGAGAGAGAGAGAGAGAGTGAGGGAGGGAGGGAGGGAGGGAGGAGGAAGAGGAGAAAGAGAGAGGCGAAACAGAGAGACAGAAAGAGATAGAGAGGAGAGAGTGAGAAAGAGGAGAGAAAAGAGGGGGGGTATGAGAGGGACAGGGAGAGAGAGAAGAGAGAAAAAGACAGAGAGGGAGGGGAGAGAGAGAGAAAGACAGAGGGGGGGTATGAGAGAGAGACAGAGAAAGAAGAAAGAGTGTGAAAGAGACAGAGAGAGAGAAAGAAAGAGAGAATGAAAGAAAGAAAGGAACACAAAGAGAGAGAAACGGAGGCGGGGGTGAGTGAGAGGGAGAGAGACATAGAGAGAACAGAGAGAAAGATGAAGAGAGAGACAGAGAAGAGAGTATGAAAGAGACATAGAGACAGACAGAGAGAGAGAGACACACACACACAAACAGAGAACAGAAAGAGTATGAGAGAGAGAAAGAGAGTGTGGGAGGGAGGAGAGAGGGAGAGAGAGAGGAGAGAGAAGGTGAAGAGAGAGGGAGAGGAGAAAGAGGGAGGAGAGACACAGAGAGGCGAAACAGAGAGACAGAAAGAGAGGGAGAGGAGAGAGGGAGAAAGAGGAGAGAGCAGAGAGGGGGGTATGAGAGGGACAGAGAGAGAGAGAAGAGAGAAAAAGACAGAGAGGGAGGGGAGAGAGAGAGAAAGACATAGGAGGGGGTATGAGAGAGAGAAGAGAAAGAAGAAAGAGTATGAAAGAGACAGAGAGAAAGAAAGAAAGCAAAGCAAACAGAAAGAAACAGGGGGGATGGAGTTTGAGAGAGAGAGAGACAGAGAGAGAAGAGAGAGAAAGACGGGGGGTATGAGAGAGAGAGAGAGAGACAGAGAAGAGAGAGTATGAAAGAGACACAGAGAGAGAGAGAGAGAGGGAGAGAGAGAGAAAGAGAGACAGAATAGAGAGAGTATGAGAGACAGAAAGAAGAGAGAGAGAGAAAGAGAGTGAGGGAGGGAGGAGAGAGAAAGAGAGTGAGAGAGTGAGGGAGGAGAGAGGAAGAGAGAAAGAGAGAGGAGAGACACAGAGACAGAAAGAGAGGGAGAGGAGAGAGCGAGAAAGAAGAGAGAGAAGAGAGGGGGTATGAGAGAGACAGAGAGAGAGAGAAGCGAGAAAAAGACAGAGAGGGAGGGGAGAGAGGGGGGAGAGAGACAGAAAGACAGAGGGGGGTATAAAGAGAGAGACAGAGAAAGAAGAAAGGGTATGAAAGAGACAGAGAGAGAGAGAAGGAAAGAAAGAAAGAAAGAAAGAAAGGAAAGAAAAGAGAGAGAAACGGGGGGGTTGAGAGGGAGAGAGACATAGAGAGAAGAGAGAGAAAGACGGGGGTATGAGAGAGAGAGAGAAAGAAGAAAGAAAGAAAGGAAAGAAAAGAGAGAGAAATGTGGGGGGGGTTTGAGAGGGAGAGAGACATAGAGAGAAGAGAGAGAAAGACGGGGGTATGAGAGAGAGAGAGAGAGAGAGAGAGAGAGAGAGAGAGAGAGAGAGAAACAGAGAAACAGAGAGGGGGGGGGTGTACTCTCTGACCACACCACAGTCTTATCTTGTCCTCTTCCCCTTTATCTCCTCTCCATGCCTCATACAAACGCACACAACTCTGTGTACTAGCCTGTCATATTTTTCTAATTTGAATGCTTCAGGGATGTGTTAAAAGGTCTTAGTTAAGAACAGATATTTTATTCAGTGCGATCACAAAGTAAAAGTTGACTTGCAAAGATACTGGGACAGTTTTCAAAGGTGGGAATTGAACTCACAACCCAGAAACAGGCAAGGAGTTTGGGATATGTACCACAGTTCAGCCATTAAGCTATTACAGTGCAAACTGAGAAGACTCATAAAAAAAAAAAAATACTTTCATGTTCTGTTCATTGTAAACCTCAATATTGATCCAAAACAGCTTAGTAATAAAAACAGGTCCATTGACTTCCTGTTCAAAACTACTGAATTAATAAGCTCCGCCTCTTCACAGCAGCATTTCACTGTAATAAGTTGATTTTTCTTTTTTTTTTAAAGGGCTTGTATTATGCTGTGTTTTTTAAATCTTTATTATAATTCCTAATCGAAAAACATACCTGAAGATGTGTTTTCTTCACTCATTCACTTCATTCATTCAGGTTGAGTTCTTCTCTTAAACAAAAAACACTGTACTTAAGGTCACATTCATGACATCATAAGGTGGAACAGAACGAGCACTGGAGATGTAGACAGACTAATAATAAAGTTTTACACTATCAGGTCTGAATGAAACAAAAACACAGTTCAAAACACAAAAAAGTCTGGGTATGCTTTTGATGAGATAATCAAGCTAAAAGCTCACAAGAGTAAATTTTGAGTCAAATGATTTGAGTAAACACATGTTAGTGAGGAAAGTGGGCGGAGATAGGGGGTGGTTGAAAGCAGGAATTTTCTGTGCACTCAAGCCTCAAATGCAGGACAACACAAGATTACTCAAACATGCATGAATAAAAAAATACAACTGAAATACAACTGTGAGAAAGTATTAGGGATCACCATAAAAGCACATGTTGCAGAATATGCCCCCTTTAACATGTGACCTATGCAGATAACTTAACCCAATAAATAATAAATTAGGGTAAATGGTTAAGTTGGCCTCACATTTTTTACGCAGTGGTCAGTGTAAGTTGAGCTACATCAGATCAAATATTCAGCAGCCTGCAGCAGGTTATGACTAATGCAGTTCTCCTACACACAAACTATATTTTGTTGTCAACCTGTCAGACAGTGGACTTCTCCAAAGCAAAACTCAGATGTATTTTTCTGTTGGTAATCCTGACAGCTACATGAATCTTTTACACTGCCCTGTCTATAACTATGTCATCAGAATGTGCCTTCATTTGTGTTAAAGAGAGACATTTCTCAACAAGAATTATTCAGACTGACACATTTGCTTTGTCTGTTTTTCTGCTTTTGTATATCATCTGCTGTTGATACAGGCCTCTACTTTGAGAATGTTTAAATCCAGGATAAAAACTGTTCTGTTTATCTGTGCATATGAGTGAAAGGTTTTTATTCTGCACTCTTCTAATGTTGAAGGGACAGTTCAGAATTTTGGACATAGGGCCTCATTTCCTAGTTAGCCAGAGTGTTGGAGACGTAAAGTAAAACCAACCTTGCATTTGAAGGATTTATGTCTGAGCAGCAGCGAGTTGTATGTCCTGATAGAAAGCTTGGCAGCGGCGGACTGATATATGAGAAAATAGTTCCTCACCATGTGACGATTCATGCGATGCAAGGTTAGTTTTATTTCAAACATTATTCTATCAACACAGACATTTACATCGACAGTCTGGCGTAATAACAGATTTACTTCGGGTGCTTTGTGGAGTGGGTAAGATGTTTTTAGTGGCAGGCTAACTATGGCCATTGACATGCGCTAGCCTTAGCACCAGCGACCTCTGCAAATACAAGGACTGGATGGAATATTTTAAA